AATAAGTTGAAGATCTCTATTTGGATGATAGAAAATCTACATTTAGATGACGATAAAACCTTCTACGAAATTCCACCTCTGATTTTTGCTTCCCCACATAACGGATTACTTCTCAGAGTGAAACCTGATTTTCAAAAGACCAAGGGGGATTTTCCCCTTCCTCCCACAACAGCAGGGCTGTAAAATCCCCACCTCCGAAAGTGAATCCATTAGAAACCAAGGGAGTCATAGACATTGGTTTTAAAAACAACCACCACCACCACCTGTCAGACTGTATTACTGGAATAGCAAAATACCCATTCCTCCATCACACAATCTTATGTGAGACACAGGAAGAGCAGTGTGCTGAGGGTGACAACCGAATGGTTTAGCAACATTTTACTATGGTCCTTTCCTGCCATTGTTCTGCACTCTGCACCAGAGTACTAAAACTGATGCATACCCTGTAGCAGACAGTGGTTGCGTGCTCTTTTTCTGGTGGATAAGGGACAAGGGGAGGGTCCGTGATTCACTGCCATCCCTTCTGATTTGCATGCAGAAGGAAGCAAGTTCAGTCATAATTAGAATTGCAAGTGTCCTTTGACTTCCAATCCTTCCTATCCAATGTTTACACAGGAGAGTGAGTGAATGGCTATGGAGACAGGAAGCATAGATTCAGGCCCACTGGGATTTAAAAAAAAAACAACCTAGGAAAAGATAGGATGCACAGGAGACTTCAGTGCATCGTGGCATCCTGAGGGTTTTGTGAGGTGAGAGGAGATGGCTAATGCAACAGTACATATGAAGGGTGGAGGAAGGAAAGATGGAGACTGGAAGACAGTTAGAACCTCCAAGCCCCGAAGGAAGCTAAGAAATACTTTGTTGTTTGTCCCATCAAGAATGTGGGTTCAGTGCAGAGTGAGGCTAGAGGCTACTTAGGGGTATAGTAGGCAATGTTCCCTCTAAGCTGTGGAGCGTTGTGAGCGAAAATTCTACTTTGTGAGCTCCCTGGCATTAAAGTTGTGAGCAAACTGTTTGGCTACTGCATCAATCAGTTTGCTCTGGAGCCCTCCTTCCTGAGCGAAGACAAAAATCTGTGAGCTGGAGGCTGAAAAACTGTGAGCCAGCTCACACTAACTCAGCTTAGAGGGAACACTGATAGTTGGGATGTGGAAGTTGCAGCGACTCGGCCATGATTCTGGGGGCAGCTGACAAGGGGGCCATTCAATTCCCCGCCCTTCTGTAAGTGAGAAAAAACCTTGCTGGAGGACAAGGAAATGCAGGCTAGCTCCATGGATCGCTGCCTGCTGTTTACGCCATGTTAGGCACCAGTTCACTCTGGCTTCCATCCTAATTAGCAGGGGACTGGGCAGAGAGGAGAAAGAGATCAAGTCCAATACCAAGACCAACACTGTTATGTACTGTCTGGATATCATGAATCAGCTAATCCACCTCCTATGTTAAGCTTCAAGCCAGCCAAGGCTCCATCTAGCCCAAAAGCTATTGGTCGCTTCGAAACAGCGACCAATCACAAAGGAACTGTTCCCTGAGCGGGAAGAACTCTGATTCGCCTTTAACCCTGCAATCTAATTGGTTGCTATTGTACATAGTGGGAGTGGCTATATTAGCCCGGTATGTTTAAAAGGAGCCCAGCTCCCCTGTTGTGTTCCGTTCTGGTTTCTCATGCGTTTGAGTGCTTGTTCGTTATTTCTGATTAAAGCTGAATCACTGCTGAAATCACTCCACGAGTCCTTTGTTAGCGCGATCTAACAAACACCAAGTATTGTCTACTCTGATGGGCAGTGGATCTCCAGAATCTCAGGCGGAGGCAGGGGTCATTTCCTGCAGGAGCGCACAGGAGCGGAGCTCTGGCAGTAAAGAGCCCAGGGGGCGGGCACATGCAAGAAGCCCCACCCCCTGCTCCCAGCAGCCCTGGGCCACGAGGAGCACAAGGATTGCGCGTTGCCCCCCCCCATAGCTAGCAATCCAAAACAGTCCAGTGGAGCCTGAGCAGTGGGTGTTGCCTTCTGACACACTTCTGGTGATGTCAGGGGGTGTGGCATATGCAAATGAGTAATGCTAGTGAGTTATGCTAATGAGCCCCTGCACCTCTTTTTCTATGAAATGACCCCTGGGCGGAGGTCTTTCAAGTAACCTCCATCCTGGTCCTTTCCATTGAAGGTTCTGGTGATTGACCTTCAACACGCAAAACTACCACTAAGCCATGCTTGCAAACCTCATATTGGGATTGGCCTGGATGTAGACAGAGGGCCTGGATGCTGCCTAGCCTACTATTCCCTACGATACTGAAGCCAGTGGATTCCTACTAGCCAGGCATGGGCAGCAACAAGCATTAGGGGATGGGTTAAATGGACACCCAACCAGGGGGATTATATTACTACATGAGCCCATATGCTTACTTACCAAAGGTTCCAGTTGCTCTGAACACAGTACAATAGAAGTTGTCTCCCGTGCATTCTGCAACCACACCCTTGCAGTCAAGATTGTGCTCAGAATAGCAAGCTGGACACTTCTTCCCGTTGTTATTGGGTGGTACTGCGTGAAAGACAAAACTGTGAGTTTGGTCAAGTGCCACGTGGGGCCTAGAGATCTCCTAGAATTACACCTGAGCCCCATATGGTCCACCATTCAAAAAGGGTTGTTTTGAATGGTGGACTGTATGGAGTTATACCTCGGTGAGGTCCCTCTCCAAGCCCTGCCATCTCCCAACTTTGACTCCAAATCTCCAGGAATTTCCCAGCCTGGAGTTGGGAGCCATAAATATCAGTACTGGGGAGGGTAATTTGGTAAGTGATCACAAACCAAATGATTTCTCTCTCAATATTTTCAGGCCCCTCGCACTATGCTAAGCCCGGGACAAGTTTTCTATGATTGTATGAATGACTGAACCATGCATACGCATGCCCATGGGCAGAGGAAGCTGCCTTTCGCTGAATCCAACTCTTGGTCTATCAAGGTCAGCTTTGTCTACTCAGACTGGCAATGGGTCTCCAGGGTCTCAGGCAGAGGGCTTTGACATCATCTGCTACCTGGTCTATTGAACTGGAGATGCCGGGGATTGAACCTGGAATTCCGGCTGGTTCCCAAGTTGGCCACGCCCAGCAGGAACTCATTAGTATAATAGGCCACACCCAACAGCAGAAACTCAATAGGACTGGCTACGTTAGGGGTGTGTGGCCTAACGTGCAAAGGCTACAAGAAAAGCTTCTTATTCTTTTTACCCTGTTTGTTGTCAAAACCGTTTTGACAACAAACAGGGTAAAAAGAATAAGAAGCAAAAGATGGGTGTGGCTGGATGACTACACTTCTGGTAACATGGGGGTGCGGCCTAATATGCTAATGAGCTGTGTTGTCAGGGGTGTGGCCTAATATGCTTATGAGTTTCTGCTGGACAGTTTGAGGTCTGTCCATTGATGTGGAAATGGGCTTCTAGAAAATGGGCTTGTCCTGGAAAAAAAGGGTTTGAGACTGGGATTTTGCAGTCCGTCTCTCTCTTTGCAGTTGCTTCTCTCTGTCGTGGGATTGGTTATCACGCCTCGCTTGTTAGTCGGGAACAACGGACGCATAGAAAGGATGCTTAGACATGCTGGGTGGTTAATCAAATGTGCATCTTGTCCTGGAAAAAAAGGGTTTGAGACTGGGATTTTGCAGTCCGTCTCTCTCTTTGCAGTTGCTTCTCTCTGTCGTGGGATCGGTTATCACGCCTCGCTTGTTAGTCGGGAACAATGGATGCATAGAAAGGATGCTTAGA